GAGCCCAAGATTCTTAGTTATCAAAGATTTCAATTTGCCACTAGATGACGTTGAGTTTGAAGTAGCTCAGGAGTTTATGGCCTCCATAACAACCATAAAGCTGTCCAAAGTCATCAACATAAAATATATATTGATGCTCATGCTCAGTTCCAATGTGATGCAAAAGTGCAGGATTACTGCTATTAAGTCTGTGATTGCTTTTTGGCTTGCTGGTGTCACCCCCCCTGCAAGGAGACAGGGTCTACTGGCCTGCTCCAGGCAATTATGGAGCCTTTCGGGTTTCAGAGGTAGCTTGTGGCTTTCCCCGAGGACCTGATGGGTAATTCACCTGAGGCTTTGGTTGCAACCTGGAATGAGTGAACAGCTGAAGCCTTTCCCTATGCCCCAATCCTGAGGATTTTCAGGAAAGGAAGTGTCAAAAGAGATGCCTGGAACATCACTGAAGGAAGACAAAGGGGGAGGAGTCTGACCAAACATAAGGAAGAGTTCATATTTAGACAAAAGGTAAAGGTTTCCTTTGTCCAGTCATATCCAACTCTAGGAGGTGGTGCTCATCTCCATTTCTTAGCTGAAGGAGCCAGCATTGTCCAAAGACACTTCTGTGGTCAGGTGGCCAACATGACTATATACTGATGGGCACCGAACACTTCCCACCAAAGTAGTACCTATTTATCAACCTGCGTTTGCATGCTTTCAAACTGCTAGATGGGCAGGACAAGTATTGGGAGCACTCTGGTCTTGAATCCAGGCTGCAAGCTTTCAGCTGACCAACTCAATGTCTTTGACTGCTAAGCCATCATGCCCCCATTATAGATGACATTGTAGCAATAAGAGTGCCACAACAGTGTGATTTCTCTGCCTTTACTTCTTCCATTAATAGCTGAACATTAGCCCTATTCAAGTGATTATGTGAATATTTCCATGCAATTGTATTAATAATGGTATGGGATATGTTTGCCACTTCTTCCCAGACGTTTTTCTGACTTTCTAATCTAATCAGCTTTGGGATTTGATGGTGCTCTTCTATCCTTCCTTGAGATAAGCCAAGGTTTACAGGTACTACCAAATGCAGAGAACAAACAAGCTTAGGAATCCCAATTTTTCAAAGAAAGATTCTTTTTGAGAATTATGCAAAAAATATCACTTTTGGGAAGTTTTGAAATATTATCAGTAGCACATCTGTAGCACACCAGCATCAAAAAGTAAATTCAGTAAGTGTTATGAAACATCCACGTTTGAAAAAGATGTCTCTTTCATCCGGTATCCAATCTAATCCAGTTTGCTATTACCAACAGTGATCAGCTAAAAGATTGTAGGCAAGGCCTTTGATCATCTCAATCCTCATCTTGCTCCTGTCCCACAACACTGCATTCAGAGAGAGACTGTTTCTGAATATGAAAACTCAGTTTAACTACTGATGTTTATAGTAACTGATAGCCCTATTCTATTTTAAAAGAATCAAGATGTCCCAGGGTTGAGAACACGAAAGGTCCATTTCAAGCTTCAACACTCTTGTCTACTTTCCCAATCTGCAAAAGGTATCACTGTCATGATGCTATTCTATAATTCTATATGAGACTGAGAAACATAGTAGGGCTTTTCAGCTTTCAAGGGCTAAATGGCCACCGAGCTACTAAAGCTTTTGTACTCTCAAGAATCCCCTAGGAGCAAGTAGTACTAATTCCATTGTAGCAAAAGTGCCTTGTAGGGATCTTAAAAACTGATATATCACTGCGCTGCAAGATTCTCTGCTACCTTTGCTGGAACAGAAAATAATCCCTTTATAAACTGGAAGAGTAGACATTTCAGCTCCATCAATTGACTGAACAATCAACCTGGAATTCACACTGGAATGAACACAAGCAATTTTATCTTCAATGTACCGTGTAAATTGGTCATAGTAAGCTTCTAAAAGTTAATAAGGGAACTAAGATGGAATGGTCATTATTCCATCCACCCTCATCCACAAATATTGGACGTCATAGTAAAAGGGATTACTTTGCCAGTTCCACCCTAAAGAACTGGCAAAGAAATCCCTTGCTACTCTATCCTATTTTCTTGTTAGATTCACTGATGCATTCATGTAACATATAATACTTGACCAAGCTAAAACACGCTTGTGTAGTTTATAGCTCAGCTCACTATACAAGCCTTTCCATTGCCCAAACATATTATATTTACAGATTAATAGTTGGAAGGGATCTTGTAGGTCATCTAGTCCAACCCCCCACCGCCCAAGCAGGACACCCTACACCAGTGATGGCTAACCTTTGTCCCATCATGTGCCAAAAGCAGGGGGAGCACAGGGGGTTGTGTGCAGGCGTGCCCACATCCATAATTCTATGTATGGAACACCTCCACACATGCATGCATGCATGACCCCCCCTCCCCACACATGCGTGCATGACCCCTGCCCTCTTCCCACTTTTAGCATGTGAGGGACCCATTGTTTGCCCTCCCCAGGCTCCAGAGGTTTTCTAGGAGCCTGGGGAGGATGAAAACGGTCTCCTCTGCCCCCCCCAACCCCCCCCCGGGCAGGCTTTAGGCAGCTTCCCTGAAACCTCCGGAGGGAGAAAAACGGCCCTACGGGCAACCCGGAAATTCAGGAACGGACTTCCGATTTTCGGTTGTTTTTTGCCCTCTGGAAAAGAAGGCCGAAGTCAGCTGGCCAGTGCGCGCATGCTGACAGGGCAAAGCCTCACATGCCCTAACAAATGGCTCCATGTGCCATCTGTGGCACATGTGCCATAGATTCGTTATCATGGCCCTACACCATTTTTGATAAATGGAAGCACAATCTCTTCTTGGAAGCCTCCAGTGATGAAGCCCTCACAACTTCCGAAGGCAACTTCTTCTGCTGCATTGGTTGATTGTTCTCACTGTCAGAAAGTTCCTCCTTATTTCTAGGTTGAATCTCTCCTTGGTCAGTTTCCATCCATTATTCCTTTTCTGGCTAGGAATTATTCACAATTAGGACTTTGCTGGGATTGGCAGATTTGGAAACAAAAAATTCCTTGGAACTGTCAGGAAACCATCTGGAATTCCATCTAGAATTTTATAACTTCCTGTCCCATAATTCTGAACTGCAAAAGTTCTCTTTTGAAGTTCATAATTATGAAACTGAAGGCAATGTGTAGCTCATCTATCTTAATGTTATCTATTCTGACTAGAGAATTTTTAGGGAAAGAGTGCTTTCCCTGTTCTGTGGTTTCCTGAGTTCTGTTTCAACTGTTTATGCTAGGGATTGAACCAGGAACTTGTACATGCGAAGAATATCCTTTTTCACACCTTCCATGTAGCAAGAAACTGAAATACCCCCCAATTTAAGTTGCTATTAAACTATCAAAGCTATATAAAATAAGCATTATAAAGTTACATTGCTGGTACCTTTTATTGTTAAAAGAGAAGCCACACAGCACTTTTGGATGCAGACAGGAAGAAACAGTCACCTTTCAAACCCTACTTCATTCAAACTGGGATAGCACCATAGAGTTTGGGAGACTGTGGTGCCCTTTCAGAAATTCCACACTTTGCTGGTTGCCAGGCCCAGAGACTATTTGGCAGTGGAAGAACCATTCTGCCTTTAGTTGATGACTGCAACAATTCATCCAGTCAAGGCTATTACTCCCACAAGCAACTATCCGAAGAAGAAAAACAGACTAGAACTGGGCTCACACAATGCACTAAGCCTAATTCAGAAAAATGTTCACCTAACATGTTATCCCTAAACAAATAAATTATAGTAAAGTTTAATGTGTGCCCAGAGTCTGGACTATAAAATGTCCTAAGACAATGGCTAACATGAATCATGAATTACCCAACTTCATTTTAACTACCTAAAATGTGTGTAAATGTGTGTAAGGTCAGAAATATGTCAGATTAGCTTGAAAGGAAACTTCCAGTCCTCAATTATTCATGGAAGCAAGTGGACGTGGCCTACTACATTCATAAAATAGCAATAGCAATAGCAGTTAGACTTATATACCGCTTCATAGGGCTTACAGAGTCAGCATATCGTCCCCACAGTCTGGGTCCTCATTTCACCCACCTCGGAAGGATGGAAGGCTGAGTCAACCTTGAGCCGGTAAGATTAGAACCGCTGAACTGCAGATAACAGTCAGCTTAAGTGGCCTGCAGTACTGCACCCTACCCACTGCGCATTCATTTCCAGCTATCAGAAAGGTCCCTGTTGGTCTTCATCCTTCCTGATTTGCAGGAGGAGTTACATGTGTTAGTCTAATACAGAATTTTCATTCTATTTAGCATTAATGACCACCAAAAGGCAGTTTAAAAATGTGTTGACCCTCTTAACCAAGTTATTTGAAGACCCAATCCATGTACAGAGCTGTTAGAACTGCTTAATATTAATCTTGGTGTGATTTTGTGTGTGCTAGTATGTTGTTTGAGCTCAGCTTAATATTATGTGAACCCAGAAAACTGATAGTTAAGATATTATGTGAGCACAACCAATCAAGGTACATTTAATCCTATTTCCACCTGCAGCTGACACAAGTAAAAAAGTCTTGCTAAACATGAGTTTTCCCAGAATATGAGTTCTCTATCCTACGTTTGATGATATAAGATCATCCTGGGCATCCAATAAACATTTGAATATTTGAAACACAAATCTCAAAGTTGGCTTTGGGTGCATGAAAGAGAGAAAGGAGGACAGCAGAGAAGAGAAAGTGGAGAAAAGCAGGGGAGAGCAAGAGTGGAGCAACGGAGAATGCTAGCCTAGAAAAAGGATCATACATATTTAACAGTCCAGGAGCAACAGGTCACACCCCCCATAACAGTTTCAAAACCACATTGTACAGAAGCAAAGCATGTCTGGAGGTGTGCATGAGCAAATACAACTCTATGGCAGCGGGCACACGCATGGGAGGATGTGAATGCATGTCCGCGTGTGCACATCCACACGCTTAGCACACAAGCCTGGTATGAAGGCCACATGAGAGACAAGCCGCCTCCCCCCAAAACCCCAAAGGTGTGCCACGAACCTTGTCAAGCTGAGCTGCCGCTGGGTTATCAGTCTGTGGGAGAAAGGTAAAGGAGAGGAGGGAGTTAGCACACACAACCACAGCAATCAGCACCTCAGACGCCATCCGCCACCTGCCCCAGGTGCAACAGGGCAAATCTGGTAGGCTACCAAAAGGCAAAGCTTTATGGTGCCACTTGTTCTCCTTGAGGAGGAAACCCTAATCCATCTCCTTTGCTTCCAGATGATGGGTGACAGGATTATAATGAGACTCACTCATGGCTCTTCAGATGTATGCTATGCTTGTCCATCACAATAGATGTGAGGTGTTTGCACTGGGTGGAGCTGTTTGAAGATCAACACATAACTATTGTGCTAAGTGTCACTGTATTTCTGCTTTTAATCATGACTGAAACATTTGCTAATCTGATTTTTTTGAAAGAAAGAATGGTATACTGTAGATAATAACAATGTTATCATGGCTTTTTAAAAATGCCAACTCTCCCATCACTTCCTTTTTTTCAACAATTAAAAAAAGCTGATTGTATAGTCATGTTGCAGAACTATTAACACCATAATACAAATATTAACATTATACATTATGTTGCTATGTCCTATATCTCCTCAACTTTCTTCCTAAAGAAAAGATAACACTAGACTGCAGTGTTATATCTGTAATGTTTGTATCTCAGCATTAATAGTGTGCTAATATATTCACACAATAATGCTAATTTTAAAAACATAATCTTTTTAGATACCACCATTTTGACTATGATTAAAGGGGATTTATGGATTTTTTAAAAAACTGAACATTATAGAATTACAGTGCTATTGTACTAATGCTCTCATTCAGAAAAAAAGTAGCCAGGAAATATTTAAAAGGTTAATTAAGAAAATAGAGCCATCAAGAATCACCCCTTTTAAAGGGTTATAATAAATATGCTAGGCTGAATTTTTCTAATTTGCCACTGCCTGTACCAAATCCCCTTAACAATAAGAAAGGCAAATGAGTAGACTTAAGACACACCTACACAGATTACGTTCCATTTGCATTTAACTGAATGAACCCAAGTTTTTCTAAAAGTCAACAAAACACAGAAGAACTGTGAGGAAAAAGAATGAAGGTAACAGGATGATGGGGCCTAAACTCAACCCAAGTAAGTATGCAAGTATGCAAGATCTCTAAGCCTAACTATTGCCCCCAATGGAATCAGTTCCACATTTTGCTCTAGCTATGTGACTGGGATGATTTCAGAAGACCATTCTGACCCTTAGGTCAGAAAGCAGCTTGAACGTATCCCGCAGTCTTGTTTAAGGACTGATGATGTGGTAGTTATTCATGGGTTATGAGCCCAGAGCTACAGCTCAAATTACTGTTAGTCTAGGAATGCACTTCCATCCTAATGTACCCTGCAGCAAGACAATTATTTTGGAGCACAGCAATGTCTTCTGGAGGAAAATCACTTTTGCTGACTGCTCCTTTTAATCAAATATATTCTGCAAGGGCTTATCAACAAAGGCCAGTTAAATTGGTATTGAACAACAGCCTTGAACAGAGTTGCATTGTCACACTGTTAAAAATAAAACAAATGGATCTCTAAAAAGGTAGACATACACTAAGAGTAAAAAAGAAATGAGAAAAAAATGGATATAGAGGAACAAGTATTTCATACTACCTGTGATGCAAGTCTCAGAACAAGCACTGAAGCACTATTTTTATCTGTGGTGGGCCTTACCCATCCTCTACTAAGTATCCTTTGTGGAGTCCATACGCAATGATTTCTAGGAAGTTCCTCCCCCAATCTTTTCATGTTTTCAAAGTAAGCTTTTTAATATGCTATCAACCTATGCACTTTACGCTGCATGATCCAATGGTGTGCTTTCTTTGAGTTAATACTGAGTTAAACAATTGGTCAAATCACACATTCATCACTTCTCATGGAAAATATACATTAAGATTATTCCCGAAAGAAAAAAAAACCTATATAAAATTCTCATACATTATACATATTTTTCTATGAATCTTAATGCAAAATGTTATCAGGATATTTATTTATGATATTTATTTATTTATAAGCCTCGGTGGTGCAGTGGTTAGAATGCAGTATTACAGGCTAATTATACTGACTGCCAGCAGTTCGATCCTAACCAGCTCAAGGCTGACTCATCCTTCCATCCTTCCGAGGTCAGAAAAATGAGGACCCAAATTGTTGGGGGCAGTATGCTGACTCTGTAAGCCACTTAGAGAGGGCTGTAAAGCTCAAGGAAGTGGTATATAAGTCTAAGTGCTAACTGCTATTGCTATTCGTTTATTAAATTTATATGGCACCCATCTCGCAGTTCAAGGTGACTCCAATATCCAACAAGCTTGGGGAATGTATGTTCCTCGAACGTACTGTGCATATTCTTTGAAGAGGCACATTCTGCAGTCAATGCACGCAATCATCTCAAAGTTCATTTTTAGTTTTGCTCTGAGGAGTGAAACTTTTGCTCATAGGCCCTACACTTTGCTATATTCTCTCTTCCCCACCCATCCTTTTAATCTAGTACACAAATATGAGGATCTGCTTTCCAACTGTTCAGCTTTCCCTGATGAACAGCCTTGAGGTGAGAACGGGTTCCTTTCCTCTGTTCAAATAAGTAATGAAAAAAAGGATAGCTGCAGTGTCTTCATTTTTCTCATTTCTCATTTTGCTCATCCATTCTAAAAATCTGGCATGGGGGCTATGATTGGTGGTGGAAGTTAGCCTCCTTTTTTTTGCACTGCTTCCAATAGCTTTTAAGCTTAGGGAAATATCCATTATCTTTCTTCTCCCTTCCACATCACTCAATAGAATGGTAGGGAACAGTAATCAGTGGGGGAGAATTGGGATGGTGGAGGGACGGTCCATTTTCTCCCTGTCCATATTCTCCTTATGTACACTGAGAGCATATGCAACAAAGACAAATTCCTTGTGTATCCAATCACACTTGGCCAATAAAGAATTTTATTCTATTCTATTATATTAACTAGTATAGGAGGAGATTAACCCTCTTCTCTCTCCTCATCTCTCATGCTTCTTTTTAATTTTTTCTTCTTAAGCTTCATACCAGTGTGTGAAGAAAAAGGAGACTAATTTTTAGCAAGATTGTGAGGAGAACATATATTCAAAATGCAATTTATATTCCCCAAAGCCTGTGGACACTGTATAAACAATCTCCATGAGGCAAAATAACCAGTTATCATATACAGTGTGTGTGTGTGTGTGTGTGTGTGTATTTTATGTATCTATATAAATATAAAATATATGCCTGTATAATATATAAACATACCCAGAGCACACTAAATCAGAAAAACAGTCCAGTTTGGAGTAGAGGTTAAGATGTTAGCCTAGAAACAGGAGACTTAGTTTTAGTCCCAGTTTAAGCATGAAAGCCGGCTGAGTGACTTTGGGCCAGTCACATCCTCTCCAGAGGTGGGTTGCAAATCCCAGCGCTAGTGGTTTGCTCGCGAGCTCATGTGTGACGCTTCTGCGCTTGCACAGAAGCGTCCAGGCGGGTGGGCAGAACCTCTCACCACCGCCACTACCGATTCGCCCAATCCAGGCTAACCGGGAGCAACCCAACTTTGATCTTCTCAGTCCATCCCACCTCACAGGGGAACAGGAGGAGTATTAGAAATGTTGTTTGCTGTCTCGAGTTACTTATAAAGTAATAAAGATGGGATAAAATCCAATAAATAAATAAAACCAAATGGGAAATTTGCTGCTAGAATATGGTGAATAAGCGCAAGCACATTATTGGAGCAAATTTGGAAAACAAACAGCCTGGTAAATAAATCAAACCCCGGAGGGTTATAATGCCCAGCAAGATTATTATTTCTAGTATGAAGCTCTAAATTTAGGGCTGCCAAAAGTGCCAGAATTAAGTTATGATTTTGCACAAGCAGTAGTAGCTAGTGGTATTTTCTGCAACTGATCCACAAGTGGTGGAAAGAAAGATAGATAAGCAAAAGCAAAAGGGGGAAGGAATCATGTCTGGATATTAGCATTTAGCTAAAAATGAATCTCAAGGCTCAATATTTTAATCTGTGGGACCAAGTTTTCAAGAATTTAAAAACTTCAAGAAGCCCTTGAAGGACATGAGTCTGGACCAGCTCCTGTGAAAAGAAATATCAAAATAGCACATGCTATTATGAAAGATGCAAGACAGTCAGTATAGTGAAAGCTTTTAAAATGCAGCTTAGATTCAAAGAACATTTTCTCTTCATCCCAATGTATCACCTAATTTTGACCAACCTCTGTATAACCACATTCAGTTGACTACTCCAATAGAATAAGAAGACACTTCCCTACTGATTTAAAGCAACTCAATGCTTTGAGAGGCTTCTGCTGGCTGCATAGAGAGCTGATCCACTTAATTAGTTTCACGTTTAAGTTTTACAAGTGATGGAAAGATTTTCTGGTTACTGCCTCCACAAAGTGTTACAGTGAAACTAAGAGTGTAAAGAAACACATGCAAACACATAGAGCAGAGAGATAAGAAACTATGGCTACCCAGCATACCAGAATCCCTTGGAAGGCCAAATAACAGAGTCTCATAAATTAATAATGTGCTCATTCATTATGAAGGCTCAAGTTCATTTCTCCTCTGTCAGCATCTGAAAATTAGAAGTTGGAGGATTCTTTGACATAGACCATTTGTCATGGCCCTTGCCCTCATTCTACCCCTGCAGTAAGAATAAAAGTGACTAAAATTGACATACAGATATGTATTATATCCATAATATGGATTCAAACATTTCACATATCTAGTTTATCTCTCAGTGATAACCACCTGCTTTATTAGCTGAACTCTACAGATGAAAGGATGATGAGAAAGACTGTTCCTTTCTTGTGACAAAAGTTTAACTAGGTAGACTACTGGTTTTGCTCAAAATAAGGCAGGTACCACAATTCCAATCTGTACTTGAGAAACCAGTCTCCACATATCCACCATAATCAGAAATTGCATAGAGAAACTTTTTTTTTCAATATTTGGTGAAGAATTGCAGATAACTGTAATAGCAGTTTGGTAAATTGCAGATCTTCTTGCCTTCTGAAGGGAAAGTCCCCCATGCTGATGAGTGTACTTCCCCCTGGAGCCCCTTCCTAAGAAGATTGCAAAGCTCTTTTCAAAAGTTATTTGTCTCCCTTGCAAGCAACTCCTGAGAAATAAGCTGTAGCTGTTTTAGAGAAGAATGGGGTTACATGGCATCAGAATATTACTTTCTATACAACCACTAGAGGATCAGCTGAGAAAAGGATCTTATCAGCAGCAAACAGGGTTGGCAAGCAAATGGGTGAAAACCAAGAATGTCACCAGCAATTCAGGAGGAGGCCTACAACCAGTTTCTAATTAAAAAACTAACAATAAATGCCATAGTACAGTGACGGCTAACCTTTTTGGCACTGAGTGCCGAAACTAGAGCATGCGCACACCAGAACCCAAAAGAGAACAGCTGGCCGGTGTGCATGTGCACGGCGGCCAGCTGCCCTTCTGGGTCCCATCACATCCATTCACACCGGACAGCTGGTGTTCGAAGACCAGCTGGCTGGCATGCATGTGGCGCTGGAACCCGGAAGACAGCAGCTGGGCAGCTCGCATGTGTGCCAGACCAGCTGGCCGGCGCCCATGCATACGATGGAACCCGGACGAGCAGCTGGCAATTGTATGCGTGCCCACAGAGAGGGCTTTGCATGTCACCTGTGGCACACGTGCTGTGGTGGGATTAAAATAATTTAACAACCGGTTCTCTGCCCTAATTATTTCTTCCAACAACCAGTTCACCCAACTGCTCAGAAAGTTAACAACTGGTTCTCCTGAAATGGTGCAAACTGGCTGAATCCTACCACTGCATGCATGCCATACAGTGGTGGGCTTCCTTTGTTTTTACTACTGGTTTCTGCGGATGGGCAGAGCCTCCCACCGCCGTTACTACCGGTTCGCCTGATCCAGGCCAAGCCAGGAGCAACCCACCTCTGGTGCCATAGGTTCGCCATCACAGCCCTAGTATATTTCCGAAATCTATCTTTTCCAACCTGGCAATGACAAAACCTGGACTGAGAATTGCTTGTAATACATGCCAAATTGATTTAACTTAAGTTGTGATTTTTTTTTTAAACAATAGGTTTTAGTGTGGTTATATTTCTCATAATTTTGACACAAGCATCCAAAGAAAAGTAAGAGCAAATCCATGCAACAACTGAGAGAAATGGACATGACAAATGAGAAAGAAAATTGCACCTCCAATTTAGAGCGTAAACTGGATGCTAAGGATGCTGTCTAAAAGTACCCCTCATTACCCTTCCTTGAACACAAATTGCTAATGAAATTCAGGCGGCTTAGACATTTCATTTTAGCCTATTTTCAACTGTTTATATGTACAATGGACAGCAAGTTTGGACGGTGGTTAAGGAACCAGACTAAAAATTGGGAACCTGTGAGTTCTAGTGTCAGCTGAGGTAGGATGTCAGCTGGGTGACTTTCGGCCAGTCACTCTGTCTCAACCTTAGGAAGATGGAATGGCAAGCCATTTCCAAAAATCTTGTCCAGAAAACTGCATGGATTTATTCAAGCAGTTATCAGGAGTCAAGACTGGCTTAAAGGCGTACGCAGACATACACAAAAAATACAATTAAACGAAACACAATAAAATCCAAGCCAAGATTTAAAATTAGGGAAAAAGTAGCAAAGCTGGGACAACATGCATCGGAAAATTGAATTACAGATAAACCTGCTTGCACTCTTTTGTTTACAAGATCCCAATTTAGCCCCATTTTCTACTAGGTAACATCCAAAGGGGTCCAGCTTTAATGTCATCATTCCTGACAATTGGAGGAGGGGCTAGACCCGTTTGGTCTAAATATGTATTTGGGTAGATACATGGTTGGCTTAGATAGGAGCCGTGCTGGCACTGTGGTTAGGATGCAGTAGTGCACATTACTTCTGCTGATTGCCGATTGCCAGCTGTTCGAATCTCACCAGGCTCAAGGTTGACTCAGCCTTCCATCCTTCTGAGGTGGGTAAAATGAGGACCCAAATTGTTGGGAGCAATATGCTGACTCTGTAACCCACTTAGAAAGGCCTGTAAAACACTGTGAAGCGGTATATAAATCTAAGTGCTATTGCTATAAGGTCAGGACCGCAAAGAAATATGGAAGGCGAACAGACACTCTGCAGAATGGCTGTATGTGAGAAGAGGGTCTATGACCAGGATAACCTGTAGAGTAGATAAGGACAGTTGGCTTCCAGTAAGAAAAAGACGGGAAGAAATTTCCACCAAGCCACCCAGCTCATCATGCTACATCATCAAAGCCCGCCCACCCACAAATCTACCAGCTCACCTATTCTACAATAATTATTCTCATTTACTGTACATGCAAACAATGGGGACCAATAACGTCTTAGAGGTCTGCCTCTATTCCAGATTTCCCCAGAAGCTCCCTTGCTCCCAAGTAGCATATTAAAATGTCCCATTACACTGTAGAATAATTACTATATTTTATAAAACTAACGTTAGGCAGATACTGGAACCCTCCTAACGCTTTTCCCTCTATAACCAAGTTAGCCCTGTCCCTACATTCTTGGGAGCCACACACTACCCGCTCTTTATAAAAGGCACCTATAATAATATCTCACATTCCAAGTATCTTTTCAGCAAATGCTCAAGAGAATCCCTATCCCAGAGCTAGCCTTATAGCACAAAATGGCTTCCCACTGTATTGTCCAAATCTGAGGGACGTCACTCACAATTCTAGCTGTTTTCCTATGCCTCAAACACAACCCTCCATTGTACTATATGTGTAGAATCATGTTATTGTTGCGTTCCACTACAGTCTAGCTCTATAGGTTAGTCTCCTTTAAACCACCACCGTGGTATAAATAAATAAACTGAAATATGAGAAAGAAAATGTATTTTTATACAAAGTTGGAAATTCCTATGAAGGGAAGAGGGTTTGTCATCTTATCTCATTCAGCTGACCCAGCCATTTCACTCACCAAGCCACACAATGAGGAAGCAACTGTCTACAAGTCTTAAGTCTCTAAAGTTTGATGTATAATCCTGTCTCATCCAGTTAGAATCCATTGTTATAAATATTTTTTTAAATCTTCCATGGAGAATCCTGGATGAAGTCAAACCCGGTCTGGATGCTACTCTCCCCACTATGGAGAAGAATGTTGGCATTCTCAAACTATCCATAGGTCATCACTAAGTCCTTATGTAGATCTAACTCTCCTAATAAATGTATTTTAACATTACAAAAAAAAATGCATAGCCATTAGCATGAAACAGAAGTAACTTCTCATGAGGTGGTGCTGGGAAAAAGTTAAGATCTAATTGGCATTTGGAGGTTTTCCTTCGTAGCTAAGGACATTTATACCGATGCGCCTCCTCACCTCCCTCTTCCACCTGGCCAGCCACTCATCCCGCTTCCTCTTGCTGATGTAGTAGGGATCTCCAGCTTGAAAGGTCAGACGCTGCACTGGCCTCGGGCGAAGGGTAGACTCACAACCCAGTCCTCCACGCAGACGGCCACGAGATCCCTAAGAGAAGGAGGGAGATATAAAGAATGGCTACTTCAAGGCATGGACATATAAAAATATATATTTTGGGGTAATTAAGAAAGATGCACCTGAACCCTGAAGATACAGCTCTGAGTAAAGCCTTGCTTTATTTACTACCGAGGATTGTTTACCAGTGCCAAACTTCTCTAAACAGTCCAAAGAACCAATAATTAATTTTACTAAGCCAAAATGCCAAGCTAAGATTCCCATACTATCATTCATTTGATGTTTCTGGATTTCCAATTCAGAACGTGCGATCCAAGGATAGAAATAAATCAAGTCTTAACTTGTATCCATTCTGTATAAAGAAGAACAGCTATGGTAATGATTTCCATCAAGGACAGCAAACAAGTGATCAAGTAAGCAGTTTACCTATTTTTGGCTGTGTTTATACAATGCATTAGAGTAATTTTAAATGGGTTGGGTGTTAATTTGTGGCTCTGTGAAATGTAAAAACACAAGTATTGTGTTATGTTGACTTTACTAATCCTGGTTTAGTATTTAGTGTGTTGTTTAAACATTTTGGGCAATCTCTCTCTCTATTCAAATTTCAAATGTGATTGATCATTTCAATGGGACCTCAGAGCGCTGAATGGAAGACTAGATTTGTAACTCATTTAGTCTTATAATATCCTACAGCCCTCTTCTGCCTGACATTTCTGAATAAATACAGGAGCAAACTTAGTAAGCTCCTTAAGTGGGCACCCAAAAGCTGGATATTTCAGCAGCAGGAGACGCAAAGGCAGCCTCTGCACAAATCATGTTTAAGTCTGAAGATTCCAAGTTCTCTGAAGAATTAAGATTAGAAGAAATGGCTCTATAGATGCACCTTTTTACAGGCCTGTCTGGAGCAGATACTTCAGAATAACCCTTTTGATTTGATTTTGTTGAAGAATTGATTACAGGTAGTCCTCGAATTACAATCATTTGTTCAGCTATGTTCAAAGCTACAATGGCACTGAAAAAAATTATTTACAATTGGCTCTTGCGCTTACAACCACAGCAGCATCCCCATGGTCAATATTCAGGCACGTTTATGAACACCCTGGGGTAATATCCGTATTTTTTGGACTATAAGGTGCACCAGAGTAGAAGACGCACCATGATTTTGAAGAATAAATTTTTTTAAAAACGTTTTTGCACTCTGCTAGCCTCCCAAATCCTCTGCACGCCTCCATTTTGCAAAAATGGAGGGATGTAGAGCTTTGGAAGGCATGTAGAGTGCTCCTGGGGGATGGGAGGGGGCAAAAACGAGCAAAAATTGCCCCATTTTTTGCTCATTTTTGCCCTCCCCAGCCTTCAGGAGCACTCCTCCCAAACCCTCTACACGTCCATTTTTGCAAAGGTGGGCAGGGTTTCAGTAGGCTAAAAATGCTGCATTCATTGTATAAGACGCACCCAGATTTCCACCCTCTTTTTTGAGGGGAAAAAGGTACGTCTTATACTCTGAAAAATAAGGTAATAGACTTTTGTAACCTTCCCAGCTGGCTTCCAACAAGCAAAGTCAATGTGAGGTACTGGACTCACTTAACAACTGCCTGATTCATTTAACAACTGTATCAAAAAAGGCGGGAAAATTGCGTACAATTTACTTAACTTGCCTTGCTTAGCAATAGAAATTCTGATCCCAATTGTGGTTGCAAGTTGAAGACAACCTGATTATTGATTTATTTATGTGGTGAAAGTCCTGAATGAATGAACACAGCAGCCTCAACCAGATCTGTTAAAAATGTAATCACTGCTTTTCTGCAAGATGAGCTTTTTGTTGGTGTTCAAGCTCTAAAAGATTGTCAATACCCATAAAATGGATTAATTCAGTAACCAGATTAAATATATTACATGATACACAACCTGTGGTTATGGTTACTTTTGGGGTCATTTTTGTCTATGGGGCGACCATCTTGATTTTTGGTTCTGTACCTGTGCAACAATTGTAATCGCACACATTTTTTTTAATGTTTTGCACATACACAGACCTATTTTTGTGCAAATGCAAATGGTGTGCGTGTAAACGAAGCAAGCGCACACTGAATCATCAGTAATGCTGGGGGCAACCCACCCCTAAAGCAATTGTCTTGAAACAGAAGTTTCAGGTTATGGAACTGATGCAGATCTATTAATACTTCACATATATACAGTTTGTTTTTTATAAATGTGTTATAGCCACCCAACTCTGATGGACTTTCTGCACATGTTATGAAATTGTTTGATGAAAAGGAGCCCCATTTTCCCGTAAATGTTTGCAAGGGCTCTGTCCAATTTGCTGTGCAAACCAGAAAATGGATGATTGTAAGAAAGAAACATAAATTGTTCTCAGCAGCTGCCTGCATCCCTTCTCTTTCAAAGTCGAAGAGAACATTCTGGAAGTATTACAAAGGCATTCTATTTGCCAAAGAAAGGGTGAGGCTTTCGTGTTTATCTATCCTTTGATACTGACAGGATTCAAAACTATTCTTGTTTCACTGTTGCACAGCACAAACTCAGGAGTGAGGATACCTATAAATATGAGCAATGTGAATATCCCGAACCCTCCCCATTTGGCCATCTTTATGTTTTATAACCTCCTAAAACAACAGCAGGGACTTAGAGCACAACAAATGGTTTAGCCTTCACCAAAGGAATGTCTTACAGGAAGAGCCTAGCTTCCCTGCCTTCACTGAATTAAGTAGGCAACTGGGACTAGAACACTACAAAATTGAGCTCCTGGGGTCACTACGCGATCTATGTCCACTAAGAGCAGACATAGTTAAAGAATGCTAATTTCTGTAACTATTGCATAAATGTGCAATTCAACTTCTGGCTTATTTTCCCATAAAACAATTGCTGTCTTGGGAATAGAAGTAACTTTATTCTCAGCCGATGAAATTCTCACACAAAACTTGCCTCCATTTTCAGTGAGTTGTAGTGGTTTTCTTCCTTGTCATCTTTGCCTAAAAAACACAGAAAGAAAGGCTAGAATTAGTATGGGGCCCTGCAAAGAGCTAAAGATATGGTTACTATTGGGATCAAAGGTACCTAGAGCATTTTACACAGGGTTTCTTGGCCATATCACATGATAGATAATATGGGACTACCTGCACATTCAACTCCTTTGAGCATCAGAGGCACTGTTTTCCCAATTATTGTTGAGTGGAGTAGAGAATAAGTAATACAAAGTTTCAGAGTTAACACTGAAATACAGTGCTACATGTACTGTAGTCTACACAACCATTCCCTTTGGCCAAGATTTTCATGTCACATATACTCGAAACATCAATTTAGCAAAGACAACATGCATTAAAATGTTTCTTCTTGAAAGTTCAACTTTTATTTGCATTTATAATTAGGTTCACATCCCATCTTTTTTTTTTACAGCTCAATGTGATGCACATACTTCTCCTGTCTCTTTGAATCTAAGCAAATAGACAAATCACCCAGCCAGCTTTCATGTTGAAGAAACAACTAGAACTGGGAGTTTCCAAGGTCCAGCACCTTAACTACTACACCAAACTGACTCTCTCAGAAAAGTCTGGTGATGAATTTCCCCTGATAGCCTGATGGTCAATTTCTGTTTTTCGGGCTTAAAGAGTCTGGGGTAATGTAAGATGGTAGCCAGGTAGTATGAAACAGAGCCAAGCTCAGTTCTTACTCTATTTAAAAATGTTACTGTGTGGCTAGTTTATATGACCACCAAAGCAAGGGAGAATCAGGGCCTTCTGGGGCTTTAAGAATAGCCTTGATTTGTATGCTGAGCCTGTTCTGGCTATGTGTGTGTTAATAAGTGAGCCTTAAGCACTGTGCATAATATTTCAGGAAAAATATGTTTCTTCATACTTGCAGGAATATATATTGATATTGGAACAATTAAGGATAGTATGGAAAGCAAACTGTGCAAGGCAATTAAGAAAACATTCCCCATTCTTGCGTAGCGGCTACAGAATGCTAAACTAGATTATAATTTTGAAATTAGAAAGATATTGGTCTTTCTTTTCCACATATACTATTTTCCTTTGTCGTTCCACCTCTCCCCTCTCTTCTTCCTGGAAAAGTAGGATGCTATTTGAGTAGATATGCTTCTGCTCTGGAATATCTTCCCCAGAAGACATTCCCACTTGGCTGTCTTCCACCTCACTAAAGATTCTCTGTCCCACAAGTTTTCAAGTCTTTTTTTGTTGAAACCAGAGGTGGGCTCCTACCAGTTTGGCACAGTTTGGCCGAACCAGTAGTGGTATCAGGATACCACAGAACCGGCAGTGACCCAGGCTAGCCACGCCCCCGAACCAGTTCTCGGGTCGACACCATCTTTTTTTTGAGTTCAGCGTATGTACAGAACAATTTCCATTGAACTTGCATGCACGTGTGCCCAAGCAAGCAGGTAGTAACACCGGCTAGAGCCAACTCCTGGTTGAAACCTGTGCTTGTTCTTTTTTATATTTTTCCAGGTTGTGAGCTTTCATTCTGCAGTAGTGTTTTAAAGAGTTTAATTCAAGTTTATTGTATTACATTATGAGAATAAGGTAATTTGCTATTTTAGTCATTGGGCAATAAAGTCAAGGTAAAGTCTTCTTAAAGTCCAGGCTGAAGCCTAATGATTTCACAGTTTCCATGGCAACAGTGTGAAAGGAGACCGCCATTGCTTTTTGAGTTTTTTTTTTACTCTGTACTTTAGCCTACAACTGTGATATCCAGAAATTCTCTTAACCAAATACTAAAGACATCCAAGCCTATTTAATTTCTTAGCCCAAACAAGATAATCTTGGTTCCACCACCTGATGAGACTTGTTAGGTAGTATATAGATTAAAAAAGAAAGAAAATAGTAATAATCACATTGCAACTAAATAGATCATAGTAACTAAAGTAGGCAATGAAAACTATAAAACCTTGTAGGCATTTTGAAAAGCAACCAGATAGGCAGAAGGAAAAGAGAAAAACAGAGCTGAAAAGATCAATCAATGATGTGGTTAGAAACTGAACACTGAAAGAAACTGAAACTGAGAGAAGAGATCATCCCACAACAGGTTGTTACAGCAGTTGTAATTTTGAATGGTTGCTAAATGAAAGATTGTGATCCCTTGTGTAGCCACACACAAAACAGACGTAGAGGCTCAGTGGCTAAGACGCTGAGCTTGTCGATCAGAAAGGTCAGCAGTTCTCCCTAGCGCCGCCTAATGGAGTGAGCTCCCGTTACTTGTCCCAGCTTCTGCGAATTTAGCAGTTCGAAAGCATGTAAAAATGCAAGTAGAAAAATAGGAACCACCTTTGGTGGGAAGGTAACAGCGCTTCGTGAGCCTTCGGAGTTTAGTCATGTTGGCCACATGACCACGGGGATGTCTTCAGACAGTGCTGGCTCTTCGGCTTTGAAATGGAGATGAGCACCGCCCCCTAGAGTCGGGAACGACTAGCACATATGTGCGAGGGGAACCCTTACCTTTACCACAGCATCCAAGTTTCTATTTTGGCTATGGGGAGGAAGGGACCGAATGGAAAGCAGACTTGAGGGGCCTCAGAAAGGGAGGAAAAAGCCATGGAGCAAAGAAAGCACATAGCTTATTCAAAACTGCATAAAAGATGCAGGTGAAACAAAGGGATGGCAAAGACTTAATGGTTCCTTCCAACTCTATGGTTTTATTATCTGGAAATCAAGATTGAATCTGGATGGAAATTCGTGATGTCCACCAGATGTGAATTTCTTAAGATTCCAGAATCAGATACTTTTCTGGTCCTGTGCTATGGGGCTACACTTTATTTTTAATTGATGGAATTTCAGTGTTAGCACTTTAACTGGGAATTTTGATGAGGTCCCGTCTCTCTTTTTAAAGTTTTAAATAAAGAGCTTGTTGGGCTTTTGAATTATTACATCTGCATTTTAAATGCTATTTTACTTTATTTTACTCCGCTTTGAGATGTCTCACTTTCAAAGTAATGCAAAAACTACTTTAATTAATAAAGCTGCATTCCAACCACAACATCGGCATGTCTATCCTGTTTGGGCCAGCAAGTTCCACATAGAGAATCTCACTTTATTCAGATAAAACAACATTGCACCAAGAGCTTAAGAGTTTCTGGAGACTAAGCAATGCAGCCAAGCCAAGCACTGCCGAGATGACATATAAGCAGCCAATAAGCCAATTGGCAAAATGCCTTGACTATACTCTACGGTCCTGCTTTATTATTTTTCCTATGTCTAAAATATTCGTGTGTATAAAAGATTGTTGTTCATTTTTTCTTATTTTTAAAACTAGACATTGGGTTATTTTTGTCTTATTGTAATACAATACATTCGCTGCCCTTGGTCATTTTAGCTTTGCCTTGTCTTTAAATATCTTAACAGCATCAACGTTTCACAACTTACAAACAGCTATCCTTTATTCCATCAAAGTGCCTCCCATCCTCTCCCCTCCCCCATCCTTTGAAAGTCCTCTCCCTTTTCTTATCACATTTTTTTAATACTCTGGGATGCCTGGGGCTCATTTCCTAGAGCTCAATATTTTAGGGGAGAAAGACATTCTGAAGGCACACCCCAAAACAACTCTGGGATCATTGGGTAGTTCTGACCTGCCACTCGCATTCTCCCCCTTTGGGATCCTCTGCTTTCAGAGTTAGCATTTGGCAAAGGCTCAGCTTGAAGGAGGCCCCTTCCCAACAAACGCTCTTGGCAGGGCAGCAGTCAAGAAGACCCCTCCCCTTTACAGGCCTCCTGCCAGCAGGAAACGTAAGCTCCCTGGGAACATGGAATTCGCCACTCTCATCCACTCCACAAAGGCCGTCCCTTGGATTTTGGGGGCAGCCTCACCCAGAAAAGAGTGGGGAGGCAATAAAAAACAGACTGGAAAGACAAAGCAAATTCTCTTAGAAAGTTTGAAGAATAGTGGAGAGAAGAAGACAAGATTTGTTTAGCAGGTAGCCTCACCTTGAGAAAAAGTGGGCTGGCCTCTTCAAGGACGGATTTGGGGTTTATTAAGAGGTATAAAAGAAGAAATGGACTTCTCTTAAATCTATTCTATAAAATAACGAGCAGTAAACATATTTTGACCCATGCTTAGATGTCCTTCTACTGTCATATTCAATCAGTTTGCAACTCAATTTAACTATCATGTTAAAAAGTTGGATAACAAACCTCTGCTTTAACACCTCCCCATATCAGTTTCATATTTATCCATGTTCCATATATTTAACCTTTATTTAACTATCTTTCTATTATCATATTCAACCAGTTAGCAACTCCATTTTATTGTCATAGTTTAGGAATAAAGCTCTTATCTTAACTATATTTTCCCCCTATAATAGTTTCTAATTATCTGATTTTTTTCCTAGTAAGTCTTTTGTCCCACTTCTCTGTTCCTGACTTTTCTTTATTTTGACACATCCACTCTCTTTAATTTTCCCCAGGTCAAAAGAATATTTTATATTTCTCCTTGTTGGGGCATAATCTCCTACTTCAATTTTCCTTATGCCACTAACAACCTCCAAACCCACTTTTGTCTGCTTTTTATTTCCTTTTGTTGGGACAACTCCCCTTTTCACAATTTTCCCTACACCACTGCCAGGACCAATGGAGTTTTTTTCTCTGCTTTTTATTTCCCTGTGCTTCTACTCCTTCATTGTCTTGCCCCCATTTATTCTTCCTAAGTTCCTCTGCAACAAATATAATCAATTGGAAGCTAATCGAAAAGAGAAGCAACCTAGATTGGAAACCTCTGCTAGGGAAACAGGGTTTTCAAGAGAACCTATAGGATGGGACAGAGAAGCTCTTGGATGAGTGGTGACACACCATCAGCAGGAGGAGAAATATTTGTTTGGGTTCTCACTGGCAATCCAGTACTCAATCCTGCATTTATTTCAATGGAGATCACAGACAAAGAGAAAAACTCTTTTGATTCCTATAAGAATGTCTGAGTCAGACCTACTTTTTTGGCCTGAAGAGTTAAGCAAGAAAGAATTCAAGCATTCATATTTAATCTCTTTTGCATAGGATAAACCTGGCTGCCTAATTTAAATGACACTTGTAAATATCTGCACATCAGACATTGGCTCAGGAATCAGTCTCGCCCTTTTCTTGCTTCAAGGCAACTGCGTGCCTCCCTTTATCTTTTTTTTAAAAAGCTCCACACATATGTTGATCTGTTCGTTCATTACCTTATTTTAAGAAAGAAAGCAACATCTTTTTACATTGCACAATTGTTTTGGGGGCTTCTTGGTGATTTCACAAGACCTTATCAGTCAATACTGCTAGCAGGAAAGGTCTTGTGCAAGTTGCAGATCCTTGACCACTGACAGAAAAAGATACAAAATACAACAAAAATGCTCCCCAGCTTTAAGTTTATGTGAATATTGTCAAGATATAGTTCTGTGACATATCTACAAGAGAAGAGAATATATGTAGAACTGTGAAGTCCTTGGTGGTTTCTGAGTTTGGCTGTTTGCTTGTCGACGTTTTATTACCAGTCTAGGTAACATTATCAGTGCACTAGTCTGCACACAAACAACCAAGCTCAGAGATCACCAAGGACTCTACACATCTGCAAGACTCCAGGTCTATGTCATTTCTTTCTTTGCCACAGATAGCCTCACCTAAACCTCTTCTGCCCTGTTCACTTAGTTTCTAGGATGTGAGAGTTTGACTAAGCCTATTCAGATAGTCCTCTACCTACAACAATTCGCTTAGTGACCGTTCAAAGTTGCAATGACACTGGAAAAGTGACATGACCATTTTTCACACTTATGACCGCTGCAGCATCCTCATGGACACATGACTGAAATTCAGATGCTTGGCTACTGACTCACATTTATGACGGTGGCCATGTCCCTGGGTCTTGTGATCTCCTTTTGCAACCTTCTGACAAGCAAAGTCAACGAGGAAACCAGATTCACTTTACAATTTAACAACTGCAGTGATTCACTTCAGAAATGTGGCAAGGAAAGTCGTAAAATGGGGCAAAACTCACTTAGCAAATTTCTCATTTAGCAACATAAACACATTGGGATCAATGTGGTCGTAAGATGAGGACTACCTGTTCCTTAGTTATCCTTGATACCTTAAAACCAGAGGTGTCAAACTCAAAGCCTGGGGGCCAGATCCAGCCCACGAGTGCTTAGATTTGCGAGTGGGGTGCTTAGATCTGCATGTGCCCCCCTCCCCCAGCTCTGATTTCACTGGCAGAGGGCGGCAGGAGATCATCACAGCTGAAAATGGAGCGCTGGAGCCCGTTTTCACTGGCAGAGCACTTGGGTCACCACAGACGCCACGCGCCCCCAGCTCAAACACAACCGTGATGCGGCGCTCAATGAAACCGCGT